ATGCAAATGTTCTCCCGCAAGGATTCCACCTGTCAGTATTTTGAGGGAACACTGAAGCTGCGTCCTTTGCTTAGCCTCGCTCATACCGATTGTGATTGGTTAAAAGAAACATTAACAAGCCAGAGCGTAATGTGGTGCAGCCCGACCATTATGTTCTACAGAATGGGCTAAGAGAGACTTCTTGGACGACACGCAGTTTCGCGTTGACATGCAGAGAGTGTTGTGGGGCTTTAGCTAGCCAAGGGCAACTATGACAAAGAGGTCTGTGGCAGTCAATGCTTCTGGCCAGAGCTCACATTTTGAAGACGGGCCAGAGTTTTCAAGGACTGCTTTCTGATTGCCAAATGGCTGATGTCACCAAGCCATTTTTTTAACAATGAGAGTCAGGTATTTAAAAAAAAACTCATTATAGATTATTAATGATCCATCGATTACTGATTGATACTGCTGCTTACAAAGAAACTATTTAAAAATTTGCATCCTCAATCTCATCAACATCTATATGGACACATTTTGATTGTTCCCCTAACTTTACTTCCAGTGCCTTGATGAGACAGACATTTGTGGTTTTGATTGAAATGTCTCTACATCTGCTTGCCAAAAGAATTAGACTCAGGCATTGACCTTTCCCATCAGCATACCATGTTTTAACTTTGATGATCCCTTCACTTCTTATACTGACATCAGGTCAGAGTTTATCTAATGCTTTTATTTATGACCAAATACCTGCAGAACTGGCAGTCCCATCAGCCTCATCTATATTTGTGTTCAGTGCTAATTAGCAAATGTTAGCACATGGCCAACAGAGATTAGAGAAGTAGGTCCAATCAGGTTTCTCGTGTCTGCTTCTACTGATGTGTCACTACTGCCCTGTCAGTGGCATGTGAGAAATGTTTAGCTTAAACATAAATCACCATGGCGATAACACCCTGCAGCGTAGATTTCTAATAATAAACTGTCCCTTGCATGAAAAAATTGTTCACTGACAACATTTCATCTATAGCTCCTCTTTCTCAGTATTTTTAAAAATAACATTCTTTCATTCAGTGATTTTCTACACAATATAGTGTAAGTACAGGATGTTAATGGTTAATGGTGTGGGTAGTTTTTTTGTTTTTTTATAGCGGTACTCTATGTTTAATTACGCAGAACTATCAGTGGCATTCTAACTATCCACTGCATTTTTCCCCTTGTGACTCACTTCTGCAGCTGCTTACACTGTGGCTTTCAAAAGGAAGTCAGTCACTGGCAACGCTTATATTTGGCACACAAAGCCCTGCAGTGATCCAGTAGTCTGCTTCGGTTTGGGAAAGAAATGCGAGCCTTTACTTTAAGTTCAAAAGAGACTCAAATATGGAAATGAGCCTTTAATTAACTGTTGAGTTCACATGGTTTGGTTGACTAGAACTTCCAAATGGACCTGCTTCAAACACCTTACCTTCTGCGCTGAAATAGGAAAAGAGCAATTTTGTTCCTAGGCCCGAGATGCATCAGCTGATTTGATTCAGCGTTAGTTAATGTAGCATTCATTGCATTTTATCGACAGTGATTATGATGGATAGTGCTTTTCAGATGTCCCTTTACTGAGCAGAGAATATTAATTACATGCATGAGCATTTCAGACTTTAACAATTTGCCAAAGCAGCTTTGAAATATATAGGACTCTAGGGAAAGAAGTTCATGTATCACTTTCCTTTTGTATCATACAGATCTTGTTGCCAACATTTCACAGCTGAAAGAGTCCAGGCATGTGTCAGCAAAAGATAAGCTGGATTTGAACCAGTGTAGCCGTGGCAGAAAGACGGCTTCCCAAGCAAAAGCACGTAGGTTGCCAAGAAATGTAGCCAGCAGACAAAGGCATGAGTGATGAAGCGAGACTGTGATGCATAACAGCCATGCACTGAGTGTTTCTGTGTGTTGTACATGTACAGTATGATGTAATGAATAAGCTCTGGTAGATTAGGGTGCTAAGTATTAAATAACATTAGAAATGTTTCCTGTAATCCCTCTTTTTGCTCCCCACACTCTCTTTGCAACAGTGGAGGATTGATGCAGAGGAGAACAGCCTCCCTTTGTGTTGCGGAAGTGCATATCTGTGTGTGCATTGAAGAGCTAGGGAGTGAACTGCAAAAGGGAGAAAGCACAGCCTGTGTTTATGAGTGAACTTTTGTCAACTAGGGGCCTGTGAATTTGAAAAAGAATCCTGATAGTTTAAAGGCTAACTATCTAGTTATGGTAATGTGTGAACTGTGCAGACTGAATAAATATAAAATAACAAAGAAAACTATTTATGTCTTTGCTTGGAAGTAAAACAATTCTACATTTAGTCATTTTCTCGTGTACGTTTCAAAATGCTTCCTCTTCTATGAGTAATGGCTTACAAATCAAGTGGTTTCTGCTGCACCAATTTTAGCATGTATCTTTGACATAGGCATTGAGTGGAAACTGATGTTAGCTTTATTTAATCTATGACTGTGAAGTGACACATCAGGCCAGAGAGTCACTGACGGGAACAGGGATGGGCTGTAGGCCAAGTCTATAGACTCCTTCCAAGGATTTCTCTTTAAAGACTTTTCTTCAAAATCAGTTGATGTCTTGCTCAGAGGATGCCATTTTTAGGCCTAGTATTTGTATAAATCAATATTTTCATTCAAAATGAATCCTGAACTGTAACACAGCAAACACAAGAACTACTGAATATGCCACATTTACAAGATATTCATTGCACAAAAGTCAGTTACTGAGGTGCTGAGTGGCGATTGGGCTTTCGATAGCGCTCACATTTGAGAGGCATTTTTGAATTCTCCTGGGCGCCCTGTGTTTTCCTGCTTCACCCCTTCAAGCTGTTTGATCCGCCTTCACACCATCCTCAGCGGACTGGATCAAATAACAGCAGTGAAGCCTCACAGCCTTGCCCTCCTCTCTTTGTGTCAGATGAGCCAATACAGAAGATGTAGAAAACGACAATCAGAAAGCCTCTGATCTCTCGTGGAATATTGTTTGAACTTTGCGTTTCTATCCAAACCCATTCATCAACTTACCCCGTGTTTTTCAGTAAGCAGTTGGGATGAGTAAACGTCATAAACTTTATAAAAACTATTTTAATTTGCTTTGACAAGACCTATTCAATTCTGTAGAAATGTACTTGATATTGTAAAGAATCTCTTTTTAGGGTTTTGTCATGTTTCCTTCTCAGTTATACCTCCAGATGCTGAGCATACATCTGTCCCAGCATGTGAAATGTCTTATTGGAATGCCTCCATTACCAGTGCAAACGTGACTTTTGAATCGGTTGTTTGCAGCATGGAAAAATTATATATAAATTCTCTCGCCTCGTAATGCACTGATACCATATACACCTTAGTAAGCAGAGCAGATATCCCCTATGGTGACTGATCCACATTATATCCACTATTCTGTCAGTGTCATAATGTATCTTGTATTGATTCCATACAGTCGCAGTGAGCTTTCTATACCACAGCAACCCCTTGCCTGATTTTACTTTACAAAGATAAATTACAGTAAGATGCACATATTTAAATTAGGAAAAAAACATACTTGGTATTGCCTCATATTTTAGCAGAGGCATCAGAATCGGTAATAAAAGAGAACTCCTAGTTGCACACCCAGTTCAAAAAGTCATAATTTTACTCAAATGTAGTGCAGTTCAGGAGGAGTCATGGTATGTCTGTGTGTTCAGCTGTATCACTCATCCACACAGGCTCTGTGAGAAAAGCAGAATAGCTGAATATTGCCCTTGTAGGCTTGTCCACACTCCTGACTACACTTTAAACTTCTCAAGTAATCTTGGTATCAGTCATCAGGAGCTCTGTCCTCACCCTGCCAGAGAGGATACTGTTCTCTCTAATCTCTTGATCCTCTTTTGTTGAAACCTCACGAAGACACACTGCCAGCTCTGCCACAGCCCTCCCTCTCCCTCTGTCACTTCAGCCCCCTTTTCACAGCAGGCCTAAAGGCATCTGCTGAACCTGAAATGTCTTGCTGCTATTATCCCTTCTTTGTCATGAGTTAAACAGAGAACAGGTCTGCCTTGGCGAAGGCCCGGTCTGGAGCAGCTGTCCAGCTAAAGATAGACAGACACACACCATCTGTTGCTCCTTCCTCCTGCTAGCACTCCTCCTCTTGTATTTTTTGTGCATTTCCTCTCCCTCTTGTCTGTAAAGGAAGGCCTTTAGCTACTGCTTATTTATCAGTCTGCTGTTAGAGATGGTGATCGTGCTGTGCCAGACACAGTTGATTTGATTTCCCGTTTTCATGGAAGAAAAATGACAGCATGGGTTACCTAAAGTTATAACTGCCAGGAATTATAATTATCACATCATATAATCATGTTCAGTGCTGTGGATTTCAGTTTATTTGACTGAAGGATACTGTCTGCTTAAATCAACTGCAACTAGGATTTGACTTCCATTGTGCAGACACATTGAGGATAACATATGATACACTAGTGCAACACTCGTTTGCATTTTGAGGAACATTGCAAGATTTTGCAGCCACACTAGCATATTTGAGGCTGTTTTTAGACACAGAGGAAGTTTGAGCTAAACACTGATGTCAGCATAGTGACATCATTTTAAGTTAGCATGTCAGCAAGCAAATATGTAGTGATTAAGAACCCAATGATAGTGTTATTCATTATTGCAGGTATTTGGACATAAACCACACAGCAGCACAAATAAAATCTTGATGTTACGAGATGACCATCAACCCTTATGGTGGCATGAGAGGAGAAGTCAAGGGATCCCCTGCATCATTAGGATTCATGAACATATAAATATCTCTTCCACATTTCTTGACACTCCATTTAATAGTTGCTGTGCTACAAGTATGGCTAAAATTCTACAGAAGTCAGAATCCAGTGGTGGGTGAGACTGGGATAAGTCTGAAAAGCAATCCAAAAGAGATCCACATGCTACAGCCAAGTTGCAGACCTATAAAAAAACAAAACAAGTCTGACCCTTCTCTTGTGATCTCTTCAGGCCCAGCGTAAAGAGCTATTTATCGAGGAGCGCTATGGAAGGTACAACCTCAGCGACCCTTTCCAGGCCTTGCAGAGAGACAATGAGGCTGTAGGAGGCCAGAGCAAGGAACCCAGCTGTTCTTCCGTCACCTCCAACCCTCTGGTGGTTCTCAAACTGGTGGTGAGCCACTGCAGGAGGATGCAGGAGAAGATGCTGGCCCAGCTGGCTGCAGCTGAGAGCAGGCACAGGAGGGTGAGTGTGGTCGTGTAGTTTTTAATTGGAGCAGCCAGAAATGGGCTGGTCTCTTTGACAGATTTTTAAAAAAATATCAGTTGTTAATGAAGACAAAAGTGAGCCTCAGCGGTATGAAAATTAATAAACCATCACTGGTGACAACAGAATCTTGACACACCAAATTAATTTCTTTACATCGACTCTGTCCATCAAAACATAAAGTAAACACTGTCTTTTTTTCCCCCAAGAGGGACACAGACATTCAACAGTACTGTGCAGGTGATAGGTAACCAGCATGAATTAAAGGAAAAGAAAAATAAAATATCTGCAAACTGATACCACATTTCTAGTTTGTAAACAGACCATGATGTGTAGACATCCTTGTTTCCTAATTTCAACACATACTCCTTAACTTTTGAAAATAGGAGTCCTGTAAATTTGTGCAACTATTATATTATTATAGCAAAAGGAAACACATCACCAAATAGAAAAATAAAATGATCATAGTAAGTAATAAAAAAGGGCAGGCTAATTTGAATAAACAAAAGTATTCTACCACTGCCAAAGGAAACCAAAGCTTTGTAAAAATCACAGAATGTTTACGCCACCAGCATCTGTGCTTACAGTGCAATGTAGTAATATTGCTTCAAAATAACCACTACTAGCATTAATATCAAGCAGACCAAACTCATGTGAGATGATTTTATTCTCAAATATTCCCTGCTGTGTTTGTTTCAGGTTATTGCAGACCTGGAGGAGGAAAAGCGGAGGCATGCTGAGGACACAGCAGAGGGAGACGATGTCACTTACATCCTGGAGAAGGAGAGGGAGCGCTTACAGCAACAGGTGCCCTCCAATTAACTGTACAACAAATATTTGTCCAAAATGCTCTCTGTACATCAAATAGGAGTGAGGGAGTAATTGGCAGAATTTCAAAGGAAGCAATAACCACTCGTAATTGCAAAGGTAGCAGAAGAAGTGTTTACCACTTCTGACAAGTTTTTCGATTGTGTGTCTTTTCTCTGAACTTGTAGCTGGAATTTGAACGGAGCCAAGTCCGCCGACTGGAAAAAGAACAGCGAAGGATTACTGACCAGCTTGAAGAAGAACGGGCTCAGCACAAACAGCTCTCATGTGCTTTGGCCAAAGAGTGCAAGTGGGCGAGTGCCAGGGCTCTGGAGGAGGGTCACCGGCTGACTGAGCTGAGCCGTAAACTTGACAAGGTATTAACGCTTTGAATTCAAATCAGACAATTTATTTCATTTCTTACTCCTACTACGTGTTTTTGCCTTTCCTGTGTTTTCCAATTGTTAGGCTTTCTTCATATTTTTGACTACAGCTTTACAGAATTTTTTTTTTCTTATTTAGGAAAAAGAGGCTTGTCAGGGCCTGAGGAAAGAGCTGGAGGATGAAAGGATGAGAGCTCTGAGGATGGAGGCGAGGGTGGAGGAGCAGCTGGCTGAGTTTGACACAGAGCGCGAGCAGCTCCGTTCACGTTTGAAGAAGGAAGAAGCTCATTGTCGACAGCTACAACAACAGGTGTGAACACTGGGATACATGCATCTCTATGAAGGCTGCGCATTTTGCATAGTTTTCAAATTCCCTTAAAAATGAATCTTTCTGTCCTCTTTGCGATCAGGTAGAAGAGCTGAAGAGGAAGCTAGAGGAGGCGAACGTGATGAAAGAAACGAAAGGAGCCATTACTGCTCCAGTGGAGGCAGGAGGAAAGGAGTGGGCCACAAAAGTATCTCCAGGAAAGACATTAGTAGACACTATTAAAGTTGACGACATTGAGGAGGACAGAAGCCAGTCAAACGTCAATGGTCACCATCACCCGACGGAGACCAATGGGCATCATAATTCAAGCAACGCCCTCTCAGAGAAGACATGCCTACAGAACGGCAATGAAAATCCTCCAGGTCATCAGACCCAGATGTCTTCCTGCAGTGCCGTGTCCCCGACTCTCCCTCTTTCTTCCCCCTGCGCCTCGCCTGTTCTTGCCAAACGCCCATCAGGCAATCCAAGTCCTGGGAGCTATCAGTCTCCCTACCAGGCCGGGATCAACCAGCGTTTCCACGCTGCTCGTCATAAGTTCCAGGGTACCAACGATCCAGAGCCACAGTCCCAGGCTATTCAACCTACTTCTCCCTTATCGCCAAAGGACCTCGCCCCTATGGCGAGCAGCCCCTCCCCGGAGGCCAGCCCAGTGAAGCAGATGGCCCGGAGCACAGTCACCCAAGTTCTGTCTCGCTTCACCACCGTCCAGCAGAGTGCCACTCCAAAGCTCACCACACAGAATAACTCTCCCTTTGGCACAGACTACCGCAGCCTGGCAGCTCCCCTGTCTCCAGTCATCGGAAGGGCTGCGGGGGCAGTTGCCCAGGGGATCAGATCGCCCACCATCCCCAGGGCAGACAGGGGCAACCCTCCACCCATCCCACCTAAGAAGCCCGGTCTAGCCCAGGCGCCTCCCTCCCCGGCTGCGGTGCCACGGTCTTCCAGCCATTTCTCTGACAGTCCCCTCTCAGGCAGCTGTGGTCTTACCTCGAGCCAGGAGGGGGTCAAAGAACTGGACATGGTGGTTTCATCTAATTAACCGATCACTTGATCCGCTAATGAATGAGTCAGCTGCTGCTTTGTTTGTGGCTTCATGGTTTAATCCACAGTTCAGAATTATGACTAAGATACCGTCTCGTACATGGCAAGATTTATATCATTTGGCTATTTTAACAAAGGTCCCTTCAAACACTGTTACACCATATTGTATTTATTTTAAATATGTGCAGAGGTAATATTGTAGGTAGTAGTTAGGGGGCCTGTGCCAATGAGCAATTACAACTGAGTTTAACTGTAAAAAGGTGCCAATACTGTATCTTGGCCACAATGTACTGTTGCGGTAAATTCTTAGAGTGTCATATTTCCAAAGGATACATAACAAACTAATTAACTGATGAGGTTTTAGATTGATATCGTTTTATTTTATCCTTGTACTTTGTGTCAAGTATGTTGCTTGTTGTTAATAAATAATCATTTGTAAATCATTTTTGGACCGATGTATGTCACAGGCTCGTTTCAGAGTGCACTCATGTTTTTGCTTTTAAATAAAATGTGTAGCTAATTTTATAAAACGTTCCTTAGTTATTAACGTATGATAGTTTTATACAACAGATAATCTGAGCAGTGCTGTACTCATGTGTCATACATTGTTCTGTATTACTTCAATGTTACATAGTTCTAAGAATCGTATAGGCTCAGATTATTTGCAGGCACCGTACAAGATGTTGTTTGAGATTAGTGATTCTGATGAATGTCATGTCTGTCATTTATAAGAAATCACTGTGCAACACAATAACAAGTATTTTATAGTCAGCCATATCTTTGATTAATATCACAACCTGATTGCCATGTTGGTTATCTCGACTATTGTCAGATTCTTTACAGTACTCTGTAGGCTTGAAAGGCTGGACATATTTAATACATTTATCTTAAAGGCTGTCTTGCATTCATCTCTTTATTTATATTCCCACAGAAATTATGTTCCCAATAGGCAGTTGTTCAGGAATTAATGCCAACAGTAATATTAATCTGATGTATTACAAGCTGTTTACAAGTGTGACTTGGAAATATTCAGTGTAGAGCACAAGTTGCCATTCTTCTCATCATTAAATAATCTGTCAGACAAATAGTTTCTCCTTAAAATGTCAGAAAATGCTAGCCTGACATCAAGCAGTCTGTAGCTTTTTAACTCAACCAAATGCTCAAAAATATTCGTTTACTGTTTAGAAATGGAAAAACAAACAAATTCTCACATGAAAGAGGCAGGATGTAGTAAATTAGTTTGTCATTTTTGCTTGAAAAATAAGTATAATGAATAATAATATCAGATAATCAATAATCAAAACTGATCCAAGGGTTCCAAGCATTAATATGTACTAACATACATTAATAGGGGTATAAAATTCTTGTCTACCTAATAAAATGTAATAGAATGCATATTCATTAGACAATGAAACAAATTAATGCAAAGGAATAGAATAAATGTAAAAGAATAAAATAAAAATGCTTTATTGATCCCCAAAGGGAAATTCTGTAATCAATTTTTTATGATTATGTTTATGATAATGATGATTAGCACCGTTGCCTCGCAGCAAGAAGGCCGCTGGTGAGGACACCAGGATCTTTCTGCGTGGAGTTTGCATGTTCTCCCTGTGCAGCGTGGGTTCTCTCCGGGTTCTCCGGCTTACTCCCACAAGTCCCAAAACATGTTGAGGTTAATTGGTG